GCCGGGGTCATGGTGGGACGTGGCAGCCCAAGCAGCCGCTGTGGGAGGAATGGAGGGGATGCGTGCGCGATGGGTGCACGACGCGGAATGGCAGTGCTGGGGCCCTGAGGGACGGGACCCGCGCTCCAGCTGTTCTCTCCAGCAAGGCACCAGCTCCGCCTGCCGCCCGCGTGTGGCATCTTTCCTCAGGCCCTTCCTGAGCCATGGGGACCAGGTTTGCGCCGTGCGAGCTGGCCTGGGTGCCCCGCTGCCACCCGGCCTGCCCCAGCTCCACAGACCCATGGAGCACTGGCCACGCTCTGTGTGGATTCGCCTCTTGCTACAGCACGGGGCTCTGCGTGAGCGGAGACGTTAATAACAAAAGAAAGCCCATTTGTTTCTAATTCATTTGTCTCCCACACCAGCGAACTGTCTAGGTAATTACAGAGATTGGCCATATAAATGCTGGGGAAAAATGCTGTCTTCACTGGTACGTTTTATCCTTTGATGGTACCTCAGATGCCACAGCTGTGCCATTTCACCTGCTGTTTTTACAGCACAGAAAACCTAAGCTCCGTAACTGAAATGTTGGCAGCAAGGAAGCTGGGCTGGAAACGTGGCAGCTGATCGCACGCCGCTCTGCGGCAGGAAAGCGGGTGCTGCAGGTGAGCGCTTCATCTCCCCTCCCAACCCAGCTCCTCCTGATCCATGTTGCTCTAGCTGGTTCTGAGGGATCTCCCTAGCAACACCTTCCCTCCAAAGGGCAGTAACACCTCTCCCTTTTCCCACTCTGGGGCTGCCTAATCCTCTCTCCTCCCTGGCGCTCTCCCAGCGCGCCCGGGCCGCACCGTGTCCACACGAGCGCAGCAGGCCGCTGGCTCCGCACGAGCTTGGCGTCTCTTCCCTTGTCCTGGCAACATGGCAGGGCTGTGGGCGCAGGCAGCCCGACCAGGGTGGGAGCGGGACATCTCCGCTGGGGCCGCGTCCCTCACTGGGCACTCAGCAGCGCGGTCCAGGCCCGGCACCGCGTGGGGCCACGGCCACGCAAGGCGCTGACACGAGGGGGCAGCAAGCCTGCGGAGACCGTGCTCCAGCAGGAAGGCGGGCAGGAGCCGGACACGGTTTCATTCAGCTGCACGCTGAATTTCCAGGGGATTTTCTCCCTTGTTTAACCCTATCTCAGGTCACTGTTGCCTGTTTGGTCTGTTGTCCTAAAGCCCCTTCAGCCAAATGTGTGACTCAATGAAAACATGACAGGCAGCTGCGTGGGGCAGCACAGCTTGGTCCAGCCACTCCACCACAGTCCATGCGCATGGCAACCCATGTGTCTGGACACTAGGAATAAGCCCTGGCACTTGGGGCTCAAGTCATCAGGCTCAAAGTTTTGAGACCTTTTGGATGACTTTTGCCTTTAGGAAGAGCTGCTTATTTTCCATGCTATATCTCAAGCTGTCCAAAGCGTTAGCACCGCATTGAAGATGGGTGCTAGAGGTGTCACCCTTCCTCGAAGCCTAGCACTGTTTATGTATAGCCACAGCCATAAGTAGTTTCTTCCTTGTTCCCACATAGTGGATTTCATTAAATGTGGAGAAGTACCTGGTCAACCCTGAATTAAAAGCACCGTCATGTGATACTCTGTGAGGCCCAGGGACAGAAGCATCTCAGGCAGGGGTCAGTGTATGGGTCTCCTGGTCATGGTCAGTAACCAGGAGACAGTGACAGC